GTGATCTGCCAAGGCACTGTGATCTGGGAGTCTTTCTGATTACATATTTTTTAGAAGTTTTTTTCATCTGAGTGATTTCATTTCACTGTAAGAATATGTCTCATGAATTAATTTCTGTATAGGCCTCATGTACACACACAGTGCTATTATTTGTTGAAAGGAATATAGCAGAAATATCCCTCTTCAGCAAGTCTTTAATAAGGGATCTGTGGCTCACCGTGGATAATATGTTTGAAGAGTAGCCCTTTGAAAAATGTACCACACACCAGAGTTGTTGGTTTGGGAGCTAAAAATTGGAAAAGGTACTTTATTCCCTGTGTGGGATGCTCCAGTAGACATGTTCCAGAGAAATGAGTATTGGAAAGATAGAAAATGTACTCAGATGATTCTTTACTATAAAATCAGATTGTCACACTTTTAAAAGGATAAGTTTTTCATTGTTTACCATTTTTCTGGTTTATCTGTGGTCCCCTTTCTGATTTTAATCATTTTGTGTCTGTAACAAAAAATTGGTAGTTAATCCAAAGGTTCCTTCTGAAAATAAAATAACTTTTATCACCAGTTTGCTAAGTCTTAAAGATACCATTATCATGAATCCTCAAATAAAAATGGTTTACCAATTTCCTTGGATGTCAGTAGTAGGAAAAAAAACACAAAACTCTTTAGATAGAAATATTAAATGTGCTTCTGGGGATAAATAACCAAGAAGAGGATTTCTTGAAATATTATAAGAAAACTTATTTGTTGATTGAACTAACCTTGAAAATTACATTGTGAATTTGATAAATTTATATTTTAAAGTACTTTAGAGAGTTTTCTCAGTGTTGATTAGCTCATACATTCAAATGATCTTTGTATGTGAAATGATCTCTTGGAATTTCTTTCTGGGTTTTCAGTTTAGCTAATAAGATTCAATTTGTTGAAAGTTACTGGTTATTGCATGATCTTGTTCATAAGTAGCACACTGGTTCTTAGAATTGAGGTGCACTGAGAATGAAGTCAGCTCTGGGGGGCTATGGTATTATTCGAAAAATACATACTAATGAAAGAGAACAAAGGACTTACTTGGTTATCAGCTTGGTTAACATCATTCTAGCAAAGTACAAAATATGCCAATTTTATAATATTTTAGAGAAATTTTGTTTGATAATAGGTAGAGTGTAGAACAAAATTACTAAAAGAAAAAAAAAACAACAACAGCAATCTCTGCGGGAATATTTCTCCACAGAATAATTCTCACCATTTTGAGAGGACATTAAATTTGTTATGATAGCACCATGTAAATAATTTTGTTTCTTTCTTTTTCAACTTGAAGGTTTTTTTTCCTCTCTCTCTCTCTCTCTCTCTTTTTTTTTTTTCCAGAAAAGGGGTCTGGAGGTGATATAGATTTAACAGTGGATCCACAGATGTGCCAGTCACTCAGAAACTGCTCTTAAACAAGTGGCATCTCACCCAGACCGACAGAGCATTCGAGCCTATCGAGAGCATGTAATCACAAGAAGCTGTCATTTTTGAAAACTTTGATATGCACTGAAAACAAAATAGATCTCAGGGTGATTATGCAATAGATTTATAGTGGTGTTGCTGTATATATGGATCTGGGATCTTTCGTCTCCCTTTAAATGTGTTATGTTCCTAATCAGTTAGGATTTATTTTGCTAAACAGTTTGCTAACATATTACTCAAATTTCAAAAAAAAACCCTATTTTTGTTTCTTTTGAATATAGTGTTTAAATTAAAATAGAAAATTATAGGTTTATGACAAGTATATCATATGATGCTACTTTGGGGGATGGCTTTGTTAGCAGTAACTCCTCCAGATTTTTGGTTTTGTTTCTGAAGCTTTGCCTTGTCTATGTAGTTAAATATTTGACTAATACTCCATTTGATTTTGGAAGTATTCTAATACGACCCCAGATCTGAATAAAGTTTCTCCTGAAAGTTGTGGTGGTTTCATTTTATTAAAAAGGAAGTACAATTCTGGAACATCTGTGGTTCTGGATTATCTGTAGTAATGGGGGAAACAGCAGTCATCAATATTAGCTCTTATAGGTCAGTCCCTCAACTGGTGCTTTAAGTGCATTTCTCAAATTCTCAACCGCAAGGGGCACTATTATCCATATTTTATAGGTGAGAAAATTGACGCTTTTTAGAGAAGTTACATAACTTCTCTATAGGTCAAAGAGCTGGAGAGTCTCAGAAACCTGATCAAACGCAGACCCATCTAACTTCCAAGCCCATGCTGTTAAAACAGGATTTTGTATAGGTGGTGGTACAGATCCTTGCTGTGGGACACCTCTTAGCCGAATGCTGCTAATGAGAGATGTGACCTGGACAGGTTATACACGACCTCTGAGACTTGATCTTCCTCATCTGTCAAGCGGGGTAATAAAACCTTTCTCAAAGTGCTTTTAAGACTGGAACCTAGTATTCTTTTCCCTGAAAGATACTCAATGTGCGCATTGGGTAATTATTATATTTTTAAGTTTTAACTCATTAGGTCTTTTTTTTGTGGTTATATTTTCCTTTAGCATCTGCATATACCACCGACAAAGGATTTTAAAGATATTACTGAATGAGACATCAGGACAATTGGAAGTGTTATCCATTTCTAAAATGAATAAGGAGGTTTGCTACGTGAAGGTGGGGGAAAGATGTATGTCTGTGAAACATTGTCAGACCCTGAAGCCTGATGAGGGAACAGTGAGAACTAAGGACCTTGAAAGTTGGGTATAACTTCAATAAGTAGAAAGGAGAGGGTTTTGCAGTAAACATAGTTGAGGTAGAAAGCATATTGCTTGTTCCTGGGTTAAGAATAGACAAGTTTGGTTCCTTCCTGCAAGTGATATGGCTGTGGATTAGTGGCAGAAAAGGTCAGAGAAGATACATTAGGGCCAGGTTATAGAAAGCCTTCAGTTTCATGCTAAGGAGTTTAACTCTTCAAAAATTTTTAAAATCAGAATGGCTATAGGACAGGAGAAGTCAAATTTCTCAAAATGAGTGTTTTTGCACCCTGAAATATTAAGACAGCCTGAAGTGTCAAATCAAAATACACAGTTACTTATTAACTGAGCACAAGGTGTAGGGATGGAATAAAGTTAACCAGGCTTGCTTACGAAGTCCTGATTATCCCTGTTCACAAGGCTTAAACAATTATGAAGAATTCATAGGAACCAGACCATAATTAAGCCAAAATATACTTAACTTATGAGTGGCACACATTTTTATATTCCTCAGGAAACAAAAACCATTTCTCATGACTCCCAGGTGTATAAGCATAAAGTTTTTTGCTTTTTACCTCCATATACAGACCTACCTCGGAGATACATGCGTTCAGTTCCAAACCACTATGGATAACCACAATGAAGTGAGTCAAATGACTTTTTTGGTTTCCCAGTGCATATAAAAGTTATGTTTACACTACAGTGTAGTCTATTAAATGTGCAATAGCATTATCTAAACAAAGCAATGTACATACCTTAATTAAAAACTATTGCTAGAAAAATAACCTAACCGTCAGCTGAGCTTTCAGTGAGTTGTGATCTTTTTGCCAGTGGAGGGTCCTGCTTGCATGTTGGTGGCTGCTGACTGATGGGGGGGTGGGGTGGGGTGGTTGCTGAAGGCTGGGCTGGCTGTGGCAGTTTTAAAAAATAAGACAACAATGAAGTTCACCACATCGATGAACTCTTCCTTCCATGAACGATTTCTCGTGCATGCTGTTTGACAGCATTTTACTCAGAAACTTCTTTCCAAGTTGGAGTGGGTCCCCTCACGCCCTGCTGCTGCTTTCTCAACTAAGCATAACTCCTATTCTAAATCCTCTGTGATCATTTCCACCATCTGCACAGCATCTCCACCAGGGGTAGATTCCATCTCAAGAAACCACTTTCTTTGTTCACCCATAAGAAGCCACTCCTCAGCCATTCACGTTTTATCATGAGATGATAAAGCAAGTCAGTTCCATCTTCAGGCCCCACTTTGAATCCAAGTTCTCTTGCAACTTCCACCCCACCTGCTGTTACTTCCTCCACTCAAGTCTTGAACCTTCAATTTGTAAGAAATGCAATAAACTGCAATGCCCACTAAAGCAACATATGCCTGTATTGTGCTATTCTGCTTCCACTTCATACAGAATTAAAGAACATAAGTAAAACTAATTGGAAAAATCAACCAGTTAAAAGTAATTCTGAATGTTTCCTTTGTTATCCTTCACAGGCTTTGGGTGAATAATGTATTATAACTGGAATCCCTGGCCTGTCTTACACACCTTTCTTGAGTAGGTAGAGTCCACCAGAGATAATCAAGTAAAGGCAAACAAATTATCAACTCTCTTTAATCCATTTTAATCGGCTGCATTTGCCTTGTCTCCAATATTCTTACCCTTGGCCACTCCCCATTTAGTTACCATGTTGAAATTGTTTAGTATCCTTAATCCTGTGGTAAAACAATGCTTTTATCATTTGCTTGATCTAATTTTTCTTCCCATGACCAAAAGTCAAAGGGAAGTGCTTCCAAATTCTACCTAGAATACCATGGTGCTAAAACTCACTTCTACTTGGGGCGCCTGCGTGGCTTGGTTAAGCGTCTGCCTTCGGCTCAGGTCATGATCCCAGGGTCCTGGGATCGAGCCCCGCGTCAGGCTCCCTGCTCCGCAGAGAGCCTGCTTCTCCCTCTCCCACTCCCCCTGCTTGTGTTCCCTCTCTCGCTGTGTCTCTCTCTGTCAAGTAAATAAATAAAATCTTAAAAAAAACCCCTCAATTCTGCTCACAATAAAAAAGAAGGGGGGGCATGAAAACCTGTATTGTATTTTTAAGGAGAATTATGTCATTGCAACGTTTTCATTAGCATTGTGCTCGTTTTGATACACTTGTCCACTAAAGTAATGTAAAAGTCGTTATTTTGACACTAAAAAAGCATCATTTTACTAAAATTAAAATTTAGGCTGGCATGGTTTTGATATACATCTGTCTTTCTCACATTTAAAGAAAAAAATCCTAGTCCAAGCTTCAATCACTTTTATGGTATAGTCTACATTTTACAATATGATTTATTTGAGAAAACACATTAAAATCATACACACACACATACTTTCAGACCATTTTTAAACAAGACTTTTAAAAAAGTGGCTTTTAATCTAAATTCTATTGCTCTGTTCCTGTAGAGTTCTGTAGAGTGACATGTTGGCTGGTTGTGTTAATGTTAGTCCCTGGAATAAGATTATCATCTTCTCCTTCAATCAAAGAATCCCACTGATCAAAATCTTTCTGCAGTCCTGTAAAATAGAAATGGTAATGAGCATAGTAAACTTTTTGAGAACATGAAACAGCTCAGTGCCTCTAGGTGGCAGCACAGCCTCGCTAGTGACAGATCCGTGATCAGGAGGCCAGGTCCCCTCCCTGGGAGCTGCCCAAGGCTGCGGCTTCTGAGTAAGAGATGGGACTAGACACCGAGCTGCCAGGCCCCCTCAGCATGGGAGTCCGCCAAGTCTGCACAGAAAAACTATTCCCTTTAACAGGCAGACTCGCTGTCTGGGATACAAAGCATGCAAAGCACCAGAATTAAATTTCTCATGCTTTTGTTTTCAAACTGATTTACTGCTATGTTACCTTGTAAACCAACTGGAGACAGTTAAAACAGGACTAATGCTGGATTAGGACAGTTTTGTCCTAAAAATCACCTGGTTTATGTCATGAAATACTCTTAGTTTCTTACCTAAATGCTTTTGTAAAAATGCTAATGAAGCTCTGTTGCTAAGATCAAGTGCTACATTTGAATCTATATCTCCTTTTAAGGTGAATATGTATCCAACTATTTTGCCAGTTGCAAAAGTGAAATCAGCAAAATTCTGATGGACTGAACCCCTGAAAGAGAAATGAGACAATCACATAGTTTGGCAAAATTATTTTTATAGTTAGGGTGCAGGAAGTATCCTAGCTGGCTATTTACTGAAAACTAAGGGAATAAAACTTGTAGATTCGATCTCTTTAGATATATTTGCGGGTCACAGGCTGTGCGCATAGGGATCTTAGAGTATATATTCATCTTGCCTTCTAGATAAAGATTCCAGTCTTTCTTGACATCTTGGCTTTAGAAGAAATGATTTCAGCTCTTATTTTTTTTGAGCCAATACAATGTATTACATGTTGCAGGGACTGTGTACTCAGAGCCAGAAGCCTAGTATATTTGCTTACCAACACCACCTAACTTCTTTTCTATTGGATGCCAATCAAAACACACTGCACATAAGCCTGGGATTAAGTAGATTTAAGGAAAAAAAAACCGTTTTCCTTGTATTATTTAAGCTTATAGCTTATAGGTATTATTTATGAGGCTCTTTAAACCCACCGATAGCCTAACATCAAGTACAATGGCCTTTTTTTAGGGCTCATTTTCTACTGCCTCTGAGACATTTGACACTTTCTTGCAGGTTTTCTGCCCCCCTTTGTTTCCTTGACCTTCTCTTCCCTTGTTTGTACCTTCCCTTCTTCCCCTAACCACTCTGTTCTCCACTGGCTCTTCACATACATATAGACATTCCTCAAGATTCTGTTCTCAGACCAATTTTTACCCACTGGGTGGTCTTATCTACTCCAAAGATTTCATGTATAATACACAAATTCTCTACTTTCCCAGTGTGTGGCCAGACATCTCTACCCAGATTTCCCTGGCTCAAGCTAAGAGATTCCAAGGTTAGAACACATCTTTCCAGCCCCACCTGGTACACCTCTTCCTCTTCATTTTGCTGCTGCTTATAAGCTGACCACCACCCTCTGTTATCTATGCCCGAACCAGAGCCACCTGCCTCCCGTTCCTCCTTCCCTGCTTCCGATCACAACCTGCGTGTCAGAAGCACAAAGCAGGGAGAAACAGGGTCAGAAGCAGAAGCCCGGATGCTACCGACAGGGGAGGAATGGCCTCAGGAAGAGATGGTGGGGGAGAAAGGGAGGGAGCAGTCTAAAGGATGAGAGGAGCAGCAAACAGCAGGGTTGTAGTATCCCGGGAAGGTGAAATAAGGAAGTCTACAAGGTCAAGGTCAAATGGATGCAGAGAGCAAGGTCCAGGCTGCAAAAGGCTGCTGGGCTTTTTATGTCCTCTGTAGGGCCAGTTTCAGTACACTGGTGGGTGTTTTGGAAGCTAGCCCACAAGAATCAAAGTGTAAATGGACACAAATCTAATGATGTATTGTATGGTGACTAACTTAACATAATAAAATTAAATTAAAAATAAATTAATTTAAAAAAAAGTGTAAATGGAAGTAAGGATGGACTATTCTTTCCAGGTTCCTAGCAGTGAAAAGAAGGAAAAGATGTAGAGTAAGAGCCTAGTAAGGAAGTGGGGTTGAGGCAGGCTAGGCATTCTGCATTATTTCTGTTTTAAAATTAAATAGATGAGGGGGGTGTGGCAAGATGGCGGAGGAGTAGGAGACCTGGATTTCGTCTGGTCTCAGGAATTCAGCTGAATAGGGATCAAACCATTCTGAACACCTACGAACTCAACAGGAGATCGAACAGGAGAGTAGCAACAACTCTCTGAACAGAGAAGCGACCACTTTCGGGAAGGTAGGACGTGCGGAGAAGTGAATCCGAGGCGATATTCGGGAGGAGAGACGGCGGGGGAGGGGCCTCCGCCAGCCGCTTCTGGCAAGTGATAGAGCCGCGGAGCACAAAATCGGACCTTTTAGAAGTCGGCTCCACTGAGGGACGTCGTTCCAGTGGCTAAGCGGGGGGGGGGGGTGGAACCCCCACGGGACAGTGTGGTCTCAGGACCCTCGGGGTCACAGAAAGACTGGGGGTGCCTGAGTGCAGCAGAGCTCCCAGGTATCGGAGCGGGGAAGCCGGCTGCAGAGACGGAGCCAAGGCGCGGGCTCTCAGCTCGGGGTTGCCATAAACTGTGATCCGCGGCCCAATCGGGCCAGTGTGCCTCCAGCAGGGACCCAACAAGCGGCAGAGCCAGGGAGACTCCCCTTCCTCCCCTGGGAGGAGCGGCACGGGAACGCACCGCAGGGATCTGCTGGGTTTGGAGACTCCACACGGGATCGGGTGCCAGACATAGAAACACTGGGTCACAGGCCAGGTGAGCACGGAGTGCGGCCGGAGACCAGGGACAAGGGGGTGACTGCTTTTCTCTGGGGGCGCACTGAGGAGCGGGGCCCCGAGTTCTCAGCTCCTCCGGGCAGAGATTGGGAGGCCACCATTTTCACCCTGGTCCTCCAAAGCTGTACTGAGAGCTTGCAGGGAACAAAAGCTCCTGAGAGCAAACCGGAGCAGCTTGCTTAGCCCGGACCGACAAGGGCGGGGCAATTCAGCCTCCGGCAAAGACATTTGGGAACCATGGCAACAGGCCCCTCCCCCAGAAGATCAGCACGAACAGCCAGCAAGCCAAGACCAAGTTTACCGATCAAGGAGAACGGGAGAACTCCAGCGCTAGGGGAATACTGCACATAGAATGCATGGCTTTTTTACCATAATTCATTAGTTTTTCAAAGTTAATTTTTTTAACTTTTTTTTTTGAATTTTTCTTTTTCCCTTTTTCAAACAACATCTTATCAATCCCTTTTTTAAAAAAAACATTTTTTATTTTTCATTTTTAGAGTCATATTTTTATCCCTTCATAGTAGTTACCCTTATTTTTGGCATATATATATAAGCTGTTCTCTCTTTAAAATTTTGAGATACAATTTCTTCTAACAGATCAAAATATACCCTAAATCACTAGTGTATGGCTTTGTTCTATTCTCCTGCCTGATCACATTCTCTCACTTTTTTTTTCTTTTTTTCTTTTTTCCTTTTTCTTTTTAAATCTTCTTCTTTCTTTTTAAAAAACAACTTCTTATCTTATCAAGTCCTTTTATAAAATCTTTTATAATTTTCATCTTTACAGTCATCTGCCATCCCTTCATTGTAACAACCCTTATTTTGTACACATATAAGTCTTCCTTTAAAATTTTAGCAGGCACTTTCTTCTAACAGACCAAAATATGCCCAAAAGCTAGTGTGTGGCACTGATCTATGCACTAGCCTGATCATATTTGATCATATTCTGTTTTTTTTTTTTGTTTTGTTCTGTTTTTGTTTGTTTTTATCTTTTTCTTTTTCCTTTTTTTTTTCTCTCTTCTTTCTTTCCCTTTCTTGTCCCCTGCTTTCAGGTCTTTTCTGATTCGTATAGAGTATATTTGCTGGAGACATTGTTAACCTGTTAGCATTCTGTTCTCTCATTCATCTGTTCTCCTCTGGACAAAATGACAAGATGAAAAAAATCACCTCAGCAAAAAGAACAAGAGGTAGTACCGTCTGCCAGGGACCTACTCAATACGGACATTAGTACGATGTCGGACCTAGAGTTCAGAATCGTGACTTTAAAGATACTAGCTGGGCTTGAAAAAAGTGTGGAAGTTATTAGAGAAACCTTTCTGGAGAAATAAAAGAACTAAAATCTAACCAAGTCGAAATCAAAAAGGCTATTAATGAGGTGCAATAAAAAATGGGGGCACTAACTGCTAGGATACATGAGGCAGAAGAAAGAATCAGCGATATAGAAGACCAAATGATGGAAAATAAAGAGGCTGAGAAAAAGAGAGATAAACAACTACAGGATCACGAGGGCAGAATTCGAGAGATAAGCGATACAATAAGACGAAACAACATTAGAATAATTGGGATCCCAGAAGAAGAAGAAAGAGAGAGGGGGGCAGAAGGTATATTGGAGCAAATTATAGCAGAGAACTTCCCTAATGTGGGGAAGGAAACAGGCATCAAAATCCAGGAGGCACAGAGAACCCCTCTCAAAATCAATAAAAATAGGTCAACACCCCGACATCTAATAGTAAAACTTACGAGTCTCAGAGACAAAGAGAAAATCCTGAAAGCAGCTCGGGAGAAGAGATATGTAACCTACAACGGTAGAAACATTAGATTGGCAACAGACCTATCCACAGAGACCTGGCAGGCCAGAAAGGACAGGCATGATATCTTCAGAGCACTAAACGAGAAAAATATGCAGCCAAGAATACTATATCCAGCTAGGCTATCATTGAAAATAGAAGGAGAGATAAAAAGCTTCCAGGACAAACAAAAACTAAAGGAATTTGCAAACACAAAACCATCCCTACAAGAAATATTGAAAGAGGTCCTCTAAGCAAAAAGAGAGCCTAAAAGCAGCATAGATCAGAAAGGAACACAGACAATATACAGTAACAGTCACCTTACAGGCAATACAATGGCACTAAATTCATACCTTTCAATAGTTACCCTGAATGGAAATGGGCTAAATGCCCCAATCAAAAGACACAGGCTATCAGATTGGATTAAAAAACAAGACCCATCAATATGCTGTCTGCAAGAGACTCGTTTTAGATACCCCCAGCTTGAAAGTGAGGGGGTGGAAAACCATTTTCCATGCTAATGGACACCAAAAGAAAGCTGGGGTGGCAATCCTTATATCAGACAAATTAGATTTTAAAACAAAGACTGTAATAAGAGATGAGGAAGGACACTATATCCTACTTAAAGGGTCTATCCAACAAGAAGATCTAACAATTGTAAATATCTATGCCCCTAATGTGGGAGCAGCCAATTATATAAGGCAATTAATAACAAAAGCAAAGAAACACATCGACAACAATACAATAATAGTGGGGGACTTTAACACCCCCCTCACTGAAATGGACAGATCATCTAAGCAAAAGATCAACAAGGAAATAAAGACTTTAAATGAAACACTGGACCAAATGGACTTTATAGACATATTCAGAACATTCCATCCCAAAGCAACAGAATACACATTCTTCTCTAGTGCCCATGGAACATTCTCCAGAATTGATCACATCCTAGGTCACAAATCAGGTCTCAACCGGTACCAAAAG